CCACCCAACTCCTGTTTAGTGTTTGCTTAAAGTTTAGCGCATATAAAATTACTACCCAGCCACGAAACTTCCCTTTGTGATACAGCTCCGCTCCAAAAACTCTCATCCCCGCTTAAGTTTTGCGGATAAAGATGTCAAAATAGTCAAAAATGGTCTCACTTCAACTCTCTATAAAATTTTAATGACTGCGCTCTTGTTAACTAAATATCCGAAACAGAAAAATAGCCAGTACTACATATGCTCTTCTTAAACAATAAATAAGCCATTTTTTTTTAAACAAGAATTAAATATAAACTTTACACATCCAAAATACAATATACAACCTATTTCAAAAAGGACTCATTGATTACGGAAACATAGTAAAACCATATTATGAACCGCGTGTAAGCTTTCCTCTACAAAGGGTAACGCTGCTCAGGGCAGCTTTTCCTTCAAGCGGCAGGGTTGGCTTATCCATTTTCCTACTTGGAGCAAGACGCCCGCCTCCACCATTTGACTTAGGCGGCCAGATGAGAGCGCCTGGTGGAATCAAATAATCAGGTTCGGTGGTGTGAGCAAGTGAGTTGACCTTTCTCAAGACTGACAAGCGCGACTCTTCCAAAGATAGTGTGTTGAACTAATTTTATCTGCTCAGAAAGGCTGATGTGATAAGGCTGTAGTAAGACTCTAGACTTAAAGCCGTACTTTATCCAACGGAAAACGTTTTGTATCATCTGTCACCTTCAAACAGAACAAGTTGTACGGACCGTCTCGTTAAGACCACAACAGCAGAAGTTAACAATATATACAAATGAAGTTTTATCAGTTTTCTATAACGCAGAAAACAAAAAGAGACTTCCATAAAAAGGATTTCTTTGTTCTCAAACTTCACTTAGAAACTCAGCTTAACATACAGTTGTTCTGTAGCATTAGTAAAGTTCACTAACAAAAGACTTTGCTGTACGCCGTAAATAAACCAAAGCGTTCAACAGTTTTGTCGCCATTGTTCATGTGGTGTTGAGTTGACTTTGCCTTTCCGTTTCAGCTTTCTTCTCTTGCCGGTGGTTAACTGCAGCCCAGAAGGTTATTTTTTTCAGCACTTGCTGCAGAAGTTTCGATGGCAAGCATGGTATTTGATTCTTTAAGAGAGCTGCGTTTTTACCAATGCAGTCAAGACACAACCTAAAGGAGAAGGAAGGAAAAAAAAAAAGAAAAAAAAAAAAAAAAGGGAAAAAATAAAATGAGAGGTTTAAGTAAATGGTCTGTAACCCGAAGAGCTGTGTGGAAAAGCACAGTGCCATAAAGATTTACACCAGACTCTTTGTGCCAATAACCTCAACTCACCTGAGGAGCGAGTAAGGTTGAGTCTGAAATATCAACAAGTCACTGCAGTGACCCTGATCAACAGAAAAAAAAGAACCATTGAAATGACAAACAGCTTATCTCAGAAGTACTGCTGCTTTCTAGATTAATGTAACATCTGTTACCACATGCACAATTTCAAACTGAGAATACTTAAATAATTATTTATAAAGAATCTGAACAACAAATCCCTTATCATGAGCCTAACAAGTGCAGGAAAAAAAAAAAACCCTCATAAATTACTTTCCAAGAACACCCAAGGTCCCATCTCACAACACCCTATGATATGAATGAACTTAATAGCACCGGTAATTATATCAACTTTATTTCAACTTTAATTATCATAGCGCTAGGATTTCATTATTCAGTTTACTGACTGTGTCCATGAAGTGCAAGTCTTCTTTGCTTCCACCAAACACCATCACTTCTCCTTCTTTTCCAAGGCAGGCTGTATGCCACAATCTAGAAATAAAATTATAGCATTAGTGACCAAGTCACAACAAGCAGCTGTGTGTTATCAGCAAAACAAATCTAAAACCGAAACGTTTTTCAGTGTTTCAGAGAAGCAGTTAGTTTACTTGCACATTAACCTCTTCGCCTCCCAAAAGACTCTCCTCCATTCTTCATATTTAAGTCTCTTTTCAAAAGACTCCCTTGCTATAAGGATGCAAGTTCCTTTTAACTAAAACGGAAGGGTCACTTTTCTAATCCCGTGATTCCACTACTTATGCCCAGGGCCTTGAAGTCTCACTGGCCTCGTTACTTACCCATTAGAATTTGACAGTTTTAAGTAACATATTTTACACGTGGCTCTGTGAGCTGCAGAAACAATAAAGCCTGGTCTTTATCAACCCCTGTCTCAAGGCAGAGCTGCCATTCTTCTGGGAGAATGGAGAGTAAACACTCTGCGCTCACTGGAGCAAAGCGATTACGAGAGTCTCTTTTCTGTTCGGCCGTTTATTTGCACAGAGTATGTTGGGACTTAGTATCTCTGAGCTTCCTGCTTCTTTGTCAAATATCACTGAAATGGATCAATTGATTCAAAACATACGTGGGCAGGAGAGGCAACCGTTCATGCCCGGAGCACAGTAATGTAACCCTTACTTCTTAATGAACCGAGACAAAGATGTTCTTTCAAAAGTCTTCAGAGGTAAAAAAATAATATCTTAAAATACGGTATTATTCATTTTTTTAACATAAAAGGAGAGAGCAATGTGACTATCCATCTCATGAGAATTTTGCTGAATGATTACATCATACAGAACAATATATTTTTGTCATTATTTGACTTTTCTGTACTCTACTTGTATATACTTTGTCTTAGCACTACAGCAAAACATTACAGTGGACATTTTTAGAAAACAAAATAACTGTAAAAAACAAGCTTTTGCCAAGAACAGCTTTTCTTTTCCTTTTTTTTTTTTTTCCTTTTTAAATTTTCCACTAATTCTCTAATAGAACAGCTTTTCTTTTCCTTTTTTTTTTTTTTCTTTTTGAATTTTCCACTAATTCTCTAACTCATAACTACAGTTCTAATGGCGTTAAGATTGTGGGGTTTTCAGTACTGACTCTTATCCCTCAACACTAGGATGAGAGCTTCAGAACACAAGTTCTCCTGTTCCAGTTTTATGCTTCCCCCCAAGATTCCTGGGGATCATTTTCTGTGTGTCAATTAACTTACATCACACACCCACAAGCAGGTTTTGTGTTGTGCATGTAAAAGCACATGGTATAAAACAAAGCAAAACCAAACTGAAGCCTGACTTGTATAATCTTGCTTTTACAGAAACAAAGATTCTGCTACTTCAGCAGCCACTCCTCGCTACATTTACTTTTTACTATTAGCAGATCAAAATCTGTAATTTTTCTACTGGTATATCACCACGGAAGTAAGTATCACAAGATGATTATCACCACAGAGCTCTGGCCCTTTAAGTCTACTTAACAAAAATAATAGGCACCACTAGAACTTTCATGCAAAAGTAAACGTTCTCACTTTCTTA